AGACTATAAGTTGTTAATGAACAAAACCTTGAATAAACCTTTTAAGAGAAATTTGGGTTATAACTTTATTTATATTTTTTTATATCGTTGTTTATCAATTATATGGAAAAGTAATATTACATGTATTAACTATGCTATGCATTTTACGGAAAAATTACAATTTTTGGCATAATATTCGATGTTTCGAATTATAATTGAAAACCTTATGAAGTAAAAAAGAGAATTTTTAATACCTCATTTTTATGGCTTCTTGAATTAAAGATATCAAGTATAAGTATGAATTGATATGTAAAAAATATTTATATAATATTATAATACTATACACTTTTGTACATAATGATGACACTGTACGCATATTTTAAACATTTATGAATTTAATTTATATAATTCAATAATAATATGTAGATTTCAGGTTTTTAAGGAAATATGATTATCAATACATATAAACAAATATAAAAATTAGAAAATGATTTCTTACAATATTAGCATACATTATTTAAAATATTATAATTTTATTCAATTTACTCGAGTTTTCTCTTTCTGAACTGAATAAAAGACCGCAATTACGGTAAAAAATATGTGTGTGTTGTCACATTATGATAGTTATACTACATATTTTGGTAAACTTATACTTCAATTCATATTTATCTAGATTCTTAATTTATGAACAATATATTTTGATCTGTATTATATAATAATATATAATTTGAACAAATAATGTTCTTAAAATATTTGGTATATGTAAGAAAAATACATGAATTTTAGATATCTTTCTTTTAGATAATATTCATAGTATAGTTATATATTTTAAATATTTTTATTTAATACGCTTATTTATTCATATATACACAAAATTAATGAATAATATTTTTTTTTATATATTTTGTTTCTTGGGCATCTTATATTAAATTATGTAGTCCCTAGATTTCTGAATAATTTATGTAGGTCATTGGTAAGTAGATTATAGATACAGATTTATATATTATATACGTGAAAGAAAGTTTTATGTGAGAAATGGCTATTTTTGGTTTGCTTGATGCACGTCATTAATATTTATTATATTATAATAATAATTTATATTTAAATCAATATTTTAAACACATTATCCATTATAGTAATTTGATTAACTTATTAGTTGTTTTTAAGTATTCTAGTATTTCACTATTGAATGTCGATAGAATGAAATAAGTTACCAACATTATATTGTTATTTTTGAAATATTCACATTCTAGTAAGAACTTAAGCTTTTAAAATACTACTGTATTCTAAACATTTATTATCATTGTTATCATTAACTCGTTTTTATTTTTTCGAGTTTTATTCACATCATATTATTTAAAATAAAGTTTTAATTAAACTCTTCATAGGTATACTGATGTCGTATCTATTATAATCTAAAATACTTAATTTATGTAGGTAATACTTTAATAATTTGAATTGTTGATTGCTTTTCGAAAACAAACGCAATAGGCATTTAAAAATCAAAACATTCTGCGTATTATTTCTGATATACTATTTATATACAACCAAAAAGGTTACGACAGAAAAAATGCATGCAACTCTTATACAAAACTATTTAATTGGAGAAAAAAAAAACTCATAATACTTCTTAAACAATTATATTGTACGACATGTAATGGGTTCTTTAAAAATATTAATAATTGCAACTGCAAGCCGTTTATTACGATTTTCTAACGTACGAGTATATGATTTGTTGGTCATTCGATTAGAAAGAATTTCGTTCAATAGTAGTTTTCACGTAATATCGTAACAGTGTCATATTGAATGTATGTACCGGAGTTCCTATTTTCATTAATTATTGGAAAATCCTCCAACCAATAAATGATATTGTCATGTGACATCGAATGCATATTTCAGTGCATGTGTGTGGATATTATAGTAAAATTAATATATTGGGTAAAAGTATTAAATGCACAATACTGACACAGTGAACAAGGTGAGAAATGATGATGACGACGATGATGTGGAGGAACAGAAGATGGTGATGATGGCAGTAGTAGTGGTAGTTGTTGGCGGGGGTGGAAAGATGGGAGCTTTTGGTAGGTTACGTGTGCGCCGTTCGCAGTTCGTAGTCGTCGGCACCGGTGCACCCGGGTCGACAGTGGGCAGCGACGGCGACTGTGACTGTGTACAACAAAAGAGAGCGCGTGCTAGAGAGTTTATTGATCGTGCGAGCGGTCGCGACCGGCTTCAACGCACCACCGCCGCCGGTTGCTTTACGCCCTCGTCACCACCACAAGCAGCGATACTTAATACGTCGACCCCAAAAGTACACCGTCTTCGTCGTTAGTACTCCGTGGTGTGTTGTGTTTTTCATCCCACCTACACTACTATTACCTCGGCTGTGTCCGCAGTTGTTCGCGGCCAATGCATCGATGAGTGCATACTACATTATTGTATTATTAAATGTGCTACGGTTATATATATATATATATGTACAGAGGTAGGACTAGGGATTTTCACGCCTGGGGATAATTTTGAAATTACGCCCTATCATAGACCAATAATCAGATACTATTCTCGAGAATTTTTTTCTAATAATTATTATACAATCATAATTATTAAGTTTTAACCTAATAACAGTATTTAACAAAGTGAAAAATATTAAATTAGTTGTTAATAATTACAAAAATTACATCCTCTAAAATTTTACGCCCGGTGATGAACCCCCGTCTTCTACCCCCTAGTTCCGCCACTGTATACGTAGCCAGTAATAGTATTCGTTCCTTTCGTATTAATTTTTCATCGTTGCTGTTATATACACCTATATATACCTTAAATGCCTATATAATATATATCATAGACATTGTTAAATTATGTTCGGGGATTTGAGATGGAAAAGGTTTTTTTTTATAGATCCTCGGGGGTCGGGACCATGATTTTGATATAATAATGATAAAAAATAAATTGAATCATTCTTGTTTTCAATTTAATTATGTTAAAAAAATAATTACGCCCAACACAGGATATTTTTTTTCATTCATTTTGCTTTTGTTTAACACATTACAACAAAGCAATTAGGTAATCGTAAATTATAATTAATATAAATTACAAAATTATAATACAATTACATTTACATATAATGTAAAATTAATTTATGATTTTAATAAATAAAAAATCGAAGATTTTAATTGGCGGAAAGCTGTAATAATAATAATAGTAGTAATAATAATAATAAAAATGTTATACAGGATAAGAATTATGTAACAGCGTTGTTTTTTTGAAATCGATAAGATACAGATTCTGATGTTAATTTTTATGACACTACAATGAAGTAAGGAGGCTTCAAAAAATAACTTTTCCTCTTTCCTATACAAAGTATTATATTGTTTTTATATCATTCGGTTTTCACAATAAATTATAATACATTTTATGTTGCAAAATTATGTTAATTTCATATATTAACATAAAAAAATCCCAATGGGTGACCTATTGCTTTATAGTCTTGTCTTTTTCGACCCCTCAAAATCTATTATTATGTATCATTTCCACGGGTCGATTCAGTTTCCTATAAAAATTCCGGGTTGATACAAGACTCTTTTGTACTTGGGTTGCGGTGTAGATGCCGCAGATTGGAGCCCACACCCAAAAGCTGACCGCATGATCTTCATCAAGTATTATATTGTAAATTACTACTCCAAGTGTTTGTTCAAATAGCACGTTCATTTTAAAACATTGCTTAACTCGAAGAAACCCAATCGGCCACTATAATGTATATGTCGTCGAGTATCCATTAGAACAGTTATTAAAATTAATTATTAATCACAAAAACAGTTTTGCGGCTTTTACATACAATACAAATAATTTCAACCGCATACAAGTTAATTTTCAAGTTCACATACCACTCTTTATAACCACACAAAACTTTTAATGTAATTCTTAAGAATAATGTTCTGTTATAAAAATTAAAAAAAATAAAAACAATAAATAAACATTTTTATTTAAAGCAATATACTAACGGTATTCAGTTATTTTGTTTTTTATAAACTTCAATGTGTATATTTTATTTGAAATATTATTCTGTTAGTTTACATTATTTTTATAATAAGCAAAAAATATCAGGACTATAGCTAGTAAAATTCGTAAAGACTCATTTAGTGAGATTTTTTCATTTTATTTCTAAATGAATTTAGAAGTTTTAAATAAATACTGTCTTGTTAACTAACTGTTTTATAAAAATCTATGTTATAGCTGATTAAGGTTTTTTAAGTGGTTTGAAATATTTAAAAAAAAAATATTTTACTTCTTTAATTTACATTTTCTATGTATTTTTAAAATGTATATTATACACAAAACTTTTTGTGATAATTTATATTTGAAAAATATCTTACAAACACCATACTAAAATAGTTAAATCTTTTTTTGAGTGAGTTTTTTGTAATATGTTTTCAAATTTATAAAATATTAATTCAAGAAGTAATTGCATTGAAATGTTAAAAGTTAGAAGAATGACCAAAATATAATGAACATTTTTTATGTATGATTAAGTGCATCTTAAGTCATAATAAAATGCTTTTTGCAATAAAAAAAAATCATTTATTATTCGATGTAACATGTACGTACCCATATATAGAAATATAAGTTACGCATTAGTACTCGTATATCATTTAAATTAGAATCTTTAATATAATTTTGTTCCAAAATTATGTTCTTTTATTTATATATATTTTATAGTGTAGATATAACAGTGATATTGTTCAATAAAATTAATCGTTTAAAATATTAATTAATCAATGGATGTAATTTAAGATAAATTAACTATGGACCTACATAGATATTATAAGCAATTAGTATTATTCTTAAATATTTTAATTATATTCGTGTTCACTATTTGAGAATGGTGTATATATGGGAAGTTATATTTTTAAACTTAAAGATTTATTATTTTACAGTCTCTATTTTATTCCAACCGTATTTATAATATCATCAGATATTTACTATAACATATTATTAAATTATTGATATATTTTTTTCAATAGATTACATTGCTAAGTATGGCCGAATGACTGAAGCAGCGGCAAGAAAAAAGTTTTGGCAAATTCTCTCTGCTGTAGAATATTGTCATAACAGACATGTTGTACACAGAGACTTGAAAGTATTAAGTTATTAAGCCATAGAATTATTTTTATTTATAATAAATTATTTTTCAGGCAGAGAATTTACTACTTGACGCTAATATGAATATCAAAATTGCTGATTTTGGATTTAGTAATTATTTTACACCTGGTGAACAATTGGCTACTTGGTGTGGATCACCTCCTTATGCTGCTCCTGAGGTTTTTGAAGGAAAAAAATATTACGGTCCTGAGATTGATGTTTGGGTAAATATTTAAAATTTTGATATGGACTAATACTTTTTATGGACTAATATCTTCTAGTATTGATTAACATTTTTTGAATATTTTAAAATAATAATACTAATATTTTTTGTATATACTTGTTTTACAGAGCATGGGTGTAGTTTTATATGTATTAGTTTGTGGAGCACTGCCATTTGATGGAAGCACATTGCATTCGCTTAGAGACCGAGTTCTTTCTGGAAGATTTCGTATACCATATTTTATGAGTACTGGTATGTATTATAAACGTTCATCACGTAAACATTTTGTCTTTGTATTCCGAAAGAATCATTGTTTTTATTTTGATCCACTTGGGTAAATCTGTTACAAGTTCAAAAACGTAGTGATGTGACAGAAACATCAATATAACACTGCTCAATTTTATTAAGTTTTAAAAAAAATTAGTAAAAAACCAATAGACCAAATATTATAAATTGTGTCTAATATTCTTAAAAGTTGCTACCGCCTTTGTATACACAATATTAAATTATAATTTTTTAATTTTTTTTTTTGCATTATATATATAATAATAGATAAGGAATTGTAATTTAATGAAACACGGATATTTTATATTTTTGTGTAATCTCGTTAGGTTTTAGCTTTTATAATTTTATATTTTTTTATTTATGATTTGATATTTTTGTTTTATACTTATTAAATTAATTACACATTTTGATAAAAGTTGTATCATCGTATATCTTTACTTGATTTATCAAGTAAACGGAATAGCATGATTATGATACATTTATTAAATTTATAAATTGTAATGTTAATTAAATAACTGAAAGGTTTCATAAAAAATGAAATCATATAAAAGACAATTTACAAACTTGCATTGATGCAAGCATGCGTATTTTTAATGAATTCAGTGTGTACTTAGCGTTGTGTTTATTTATTATTTTTTAGAATAGTTCACTATTTTAATTAATAAAATGGGGTTTCCTATACATTTGAAAATTTATCTGTATTCATCACAATTTACAAAAAAAAAAAATGTAATAGGTATATTATATATGTAATTAAAATAAAATATGCTTTTTCGATATCAATTATTTTCCTAAGAGTATTGTAATATAAGTTATTTAAATAAATAACTTTTAGTAAACGAATCGTTCTCATTTTCAAATGTGAAAAAAAATATTCAACTAAAAGTTTATAAGTCATATGTAAGATACCTAAGCTTATTTTTTATAAATGTTTGTTTATTTGCAGTATTCTCTAATACTTTTGGTACTATTTACAAAACATATACTTAGTTTAAAGTTACATTCACGGTTTATTTACATGTTTTGAAAGTTTTTTTTTACTTAATATTCTTTTGAATAAAAATGCTTATCTGTTGAATATTTGTAAAGCAAAAACATTATATATATTTTTAAAAGTTCAAATAAATACATTATAATTTGATTGACGTAAAACATTGATTGTACTAGCCTCGGAAGAATATATATATAATATATATATGAAGAACATTGTGTATCAAATTTAACGATTGCGATGACGTAACTATATGTCGTTTTGTCGTAAATTTTCATGTTCAAAAATCTAGTCGGTTTTATTTTCATTCGGCGTTGAGTCTCCTCATGTGGCGTGACGCACATGCAATGACGTCACTAGCGTTAGCGACGGAACGATCAATTTTACACAATTGTTGGGCGCGCTTGGTTGGCCTAAAATAACTTTACTTCGATTTTAATATCTAACGTTGGTAATAATTAATTTTTATAGGTTGTGAATCATTGATACGAAAAATGCTCATACTAGACCCGAACAAAAGGTATTCTGTTGAACAGATTAAAAGACACCCTTGGATGTTGGAAGAAGCGCCCAGATTGTTACCGGGTACAATAGCGGAAATGCCTGCAGAACCTAATGATCAGGTGCTAAGGTTCATGAGTAGTTTGGATATAAACACAACAAGAACTAGACAGGTTATTTAATTTTTTTGTATTGTTGCTACTTAATATTTTACTATTTGGTGTGTGTTCGTTATTACTAAGACGAAATGATTGTTTCAAAATATTTGTATTTTTTTCCTATATCATACCTACTTATAAAAAGTAATAATCAAAAAACAATTTCGTTTCATGATCTTTTGAATTCAAATAATTTCAATGATTCAGACTTTATTTACGTAAGTATCATTATTTTATACTTGTTTATATGGTGCTTGAAAAATATTGAAGTATTTTAAGAATATTCTCTACATTTTAGTATTTACATAGAACAAGATAAATTTCATGTTATTTTGTTACATAATTTGTTTGAACATTCCAACAAAAATTAGGCACCAATTATTTTATACTGGCGATGGTAAATATATCAATTTAGATATCGAAAAAAACTTTTCCTTCTAAGAAATAAATATGTGATAAAAACTTATCATTATTTTACTGCAAGTTGAAAAAATTTATTTTCATTCGTACAGAAATCATTTGTGTATTCTCAACCGATTTCAATGAACATTTCAAGCTTTTAGTGTATATTTTATTAGTTTCAGTTTTCATGAGTTACCCACTCTAGTTGTTATAATCTATTACGAGTAATAAGAACCATTTTCGAACAATCAATAAAAATAATACGATTTATAGTAAAATTGTTTATATTGTATGCGATTGCAGTCGTTAAGGAATCGGACGTACGACCATTACGCGGCCATATATTACTTGTTTCTGGAGAAGCTCAAGCAGCAAAAGTCGCAAGAAAACAGTAGTCATTATTTACAAGATAGGAGGCTGTCGGAAAAATTGTTTCCGACTGCGTCTTACGAGCCGCAGTTGTTTATGGGACACTCGAGTCCCAATAAGAGGGCATCGATTGACTGCCCGGCTGGACACCAATATCTGCCGGACTTGTGGAAACAACCGAAGACCAGTGCCACGGTGCACCTGACCAATCACATGCCGTCCAACCGGCCGCGGTCGTACAGCCAGGGCCGCGCCGTGCAGCATTCCGTCAACTTGGCCGATCTCAAGCTGCAGCAACATCCGCCGTTTAGAGAGCTGCCGCAGCTTCCCAAGTTCAACAAAAGCAAAGCGGAAAAAATACCCGTGGCCGAGCTGATCGCCGGTGGCTTGCACGACGAGATACCTAAGATCTGCTACCACGCTCGGTTGGACCACATGACCATGATCGCGCCGCAGTACTCCACGTCAACGGACGAGGGCATCGAAACGGATTTGGAGGACGCGGTAGCGTCCTCCAGTCCCACGCAACCGTCGTCGTCGCAACGGCTCGCGTACCCGCCGGCCGCCGGCTCAGTGATCAAGAGCCATAGCCAGAATCTGGCCGAGCTGCCGTGTGTGGTCAACCAGTACGAGTCTGATCTGGTGTCCAGTCTGCCGTCATGCGTTGCTAACGAAATGAAGTACGCGGACTGTTGCGCGGCGGTGATGAGCAGCGCGGCCACGATCAATAGTTGCAGCGGGCCGCCGTACTCACCGTGGGACAGGCGCACCACTTTCATGGCACACAACCAGGGCGCGAGCGAAGGTGTCCGGCCGCGGTTGGATAACATGTCGCCCGTTAGCTTCCGGGAGGGCAGACGGGCTTCCGACGGACTGATGAACCATATCGATCCGGCAGCCGCGACTGCTGCGTCCACGGGGCCGTCGTCGCCCAGGTCTCAGACGCAGCAGCAGTACAGTAATCGCGTGGCGACCACGGGGGTGTTCAACAGCCAAAAATTGCAGAGGGAGTGCTGCGTTGGCAAGGCGGTGGACCTGCATCACGCGGAGCAAAAAGAGTACGAGACGCTCAAGACGCTATACCAGAGCTGTTTGCCAGGCGATGAGCAACTACGGAAACAACATCAGCAGACAATACTTATGACTGCGGAGCCGATCGGACGGAACGGTGTTGCATCCCAGCAACAGCAGCAACAGCAGCAGCAGCAGCAGCACCATCGTCACCAGCACCACCATTCCGGTGAGTACCGTAAGGATTCGATGCCGCCTAGGTCACCGTCGGCCACTATGGCTAAACGGTTCAACTATACGGACGGCTACGCGTTGGACAAGGCCGGGCTCCAGCAGCAATTGCTTCAGCAGCGGTTGCTCCAACACAAGCGCACCGTGCTTCAGAAGCAGGGAGCTGCTACCACGTTCAGCCAGTGCAACGTGACCGCTGCCATGGCGGCCGCCGTTGCCGAATCACCCACCAAACGGTCACACCACGGGCACCGGCAACCGCTGTACAACAAAACAACCGCTCAATTATCGCCCCAGCACAGCGGTGACGGCCACACGCAACTCCAGGCGGACGGCAGCTGGCAGTCGCTACCGCACACAATGGCCACATGCCAGATCAACGACTTCGACAGCCAGGCCAATTGGCTGTCAGTGCCTGACCCACAACATCACTGGTACTGTTCCACTTCCGGACAGCAGTACAGTTTCTCCAAGAATTATTCGCAGGTGAGTGTCCGTTTTGCACATTTAACCATCGGATTTAGAATTTTTATGCGTTGAAAATCATTGTTAATTCGATTAGATCATTATAAACTTTCATAGAATTTATTATTTAATATATTCATTTCAAAATGAATATTCGTTGGAAGCTGATTTACTATATTATATAATGTCAGTCCTTTAAAAGTGGGTCATATTTATGAAAAGTTAGGAATGTTTGCATCTAACTAAAATGTTGTTCTGACGCTCCGTTGCAATGCTGTTATTCGTTTGTTCAATTATGAGTGGTCATAAGGTCAAATTTTATTATATTAATCGAAGTTAACCCTGTTACTTTTCAGTAATTGACGATATTATATTGATCAAATATTATACTATAATTATAGTATTAATAAAAGTAATGTTAACTTTTATGCGGAAACTGATAATTTACAATGGTGGGTTTGTTAAACGTTAGGGATAAACATTGATCAAAATCTAGAGTAATTTTAGTGTATAGTACTTAACCAATAATGAATGAAATAAAATTTTAAATAAAATCTTTATATGATTTTATACAATTCTAAATGGCATTAATACTCCGCCTTTTGATGATGTATTTTTGCTATTACTAATATGACTATGACAATATACTTAAAAAATATATACATGTACAATAAGATTAACTGTAATATTCAGAATTATTTAAATATTTTCATATTAACACATACATATATTTTTGAAAACAAGTATATTTCTAAAAACTTGGAAATATTTAATTAAATGTGAAAAAATGTATACATTTAAAAAAATCATTAAGTTTATTCGAATAATAATGTATATGCCTCTTTCTTTCTTTCTCTTTCTCTTATTTATTTTTATGTGAATTTTAATTTGATCCGATACTTAAATAAAGACTCGTGACAGAAGAACAATGAGAGGGATCTGCGGTGGATACATAACTTACTGAAATATGATCCTAATAAAGTGAAAGTGAAAAACCTTAACCTATATTTTAACATCTTATTGCCTTTATACATTTTATTTTAAATAAAATCTTATGATCAAATTCCGAAAAGTTTATGCTGTTACTTATTAAAAAATTAAATTGTATAAATTAATAAAGACATGTTTTAAAATTACATTGATATAAAAATACAGCAGTAAAAATTATAAATTATTGTTTGTTAGGTTTTAAATAATTATTTCATACATACCAAAATATTTAAATATTTAATTTAAAATAGTTACTAAAAAAGTGAGTTAAGAATTTTTGTATGTTTTTATTTATTTATAAAAATAAAAATAATACGAGTACTTAAAAAAGTAACTATTACAATTTCATATACTTTCATTGTACTTATAGGTGTTTTGGTGCATATGTTTGGGCGAAAACTTCATAAGTTAATATTTTTGTAACACTTTGAAAAGCAATTGAATTATTGTATATATAATCAACTTAAATTATAATTTTGTTTAATTAAAAAAATTAATTTAGTTTTTAAAGTTTATATTAGCAGTTACTATACATTCTGGTTCCTTAACTTAACCAGTTATTAAGTAATTTGTATATGCGAGTAAAATATTTGTGTTCCACGATTAAAGACATTTTATACAGTTATTTAACAAACTTAAATTGTTGTTTAATTATAACAAACAACAAAATTAGTTGTTTGTATATTAGTTATAACTTTATAAAATACATATTACAGATATTATTTTTTTAAGTGTAATATTTCATGAGCTGAATATTTTTTATACCAATTAAAAGAAATTTAATATGTATTGATTCAATGTTTTCTTATGTTGATAAAGTATTACTAAAATTAGGTACAATTAAGAAATAATTCCATACAAATGTAACAAAATGTTTATAATGTTATTGATTTGTCTCTTCAATGCATTAGGGTCAAACTATACGGAGTGTGAGCGTGGGTGCAAGGTCATTAAATTCTAGAAATTCACAACGCAACTTAAAAGCAATGTGTACCAAAGTCTGGAGTGATATTTTGAAAAGCAAGTTCTATTTTATTTATGCGCTATGCTTTGCAAGGCCGGTATGAATAATTGATTTTAAGACACGTTTACTTACGATTCGACATTATTATTGTGAATATTATAGGCTATGCGTAATTATTTTCAAACGACTACTAAAATCAGTGGCGGATCTAGTATTTTTTCATGGTGGTGCTATTTTATTATTAATGATCCTTAATAAACGACTTTAGAGTAAAAACAAATTAATAATTTGGGATTTAAATGTTCAGGAAAATTAGTTATGTTTTGTACAAGTTTTGTTTATTCTCTAGAAAAATATGAACTCTATAACAGTGGTTCTCAACTGGAGTAACATGAACTCAACGTAAGGATAACACAAAACCTCAACGAGGAAATGAAAAAAAAATTTAAAAATAAAAATATATTATTCCCTCACTGTCATATAAATAGCATACCTCAATTGATGTATATATTTTTTATATTTAATTTTGAAGTTCGATAAACACATGTAGTATTTTGATTTGCGACAACGCTGCGTTATTGCGTTATTGATGGACTTAACCTATCATTATTCAATTATTTTTAGTGATATGCAATACTTAAATTTATCTAGATAAAACTCTGGTATCTGTATCTTATATAGATAAATTAAAATAATGATACTAACTGTCATCTAAGATAGAAACTATGGTCTTCTAGATCAGTGGCTTTTAACCTTTTTGACTCGTGACACATCAGTTTTGTTAGCCATGAAAACCAAAAAAAAAATTTTTTTTTCAGATATATACTCAATATTTAATTTTCATTATAAGTATTGATACAAAAAAAAATAAATAGATTATAAGAAAAAAAAAACGTAGTGATATTTGACTGTTTTCACGCAAAATACTCCATCTCGGCTCAATTTTACACCATGCAATTCATAGATAAATGATAGAGAAATGAGTTTTATTGATAAGTCGAAGTAATGGTATAGCGATAGCCTATCGTTAAAGCATTACTTCATTTGATGTTCATTTTTATCTTCTACTCATATAAAATAGTTTCGGGTCTATTCTAAAATGATTTTATCCGATGTCATATGTCATATATAATATGCATAATATTATAGTATATAATATGTCATATACTATATATAATATAGTATATGAATAGAATTTTTTAAATTTGAAACTGAAGACTTATCATGACCCAATCTTAAAGCTAACGTGACTCACCAGTTGAAGACCATTGATCTAGATAAATTTTTCTAGATTTTTTACGAGAGTCTATACGGAAATTATTCTTTCAAATAACAATTTTAAATTTATTTAGGATGACCATATTTATGAGTAAATTCTAGATATTATGCATAATTTATAATAACAAAAAAATTAACTTACTATAGGTTATTAAATATAACCTATACAGTATAGTCTATAAGTATATTTTCTTAATAAGTTATTTGTATTTTAAAATCATTTATATATATGTATATATATATTTATATAATTATTAATTTTCAGGGAAATTATGTCACTTTTCAATAAATTACGTCATACACCTCGGTGACTGCTTTCATCGTAACATATAAGAAGGGCTCATAACTATAGCTCTAAAAATGGTAGTTACAAGGGCTATAATATGCTCATATAAAATGTATAAAAAAATTTCAAACTCTTATTATTAAAATACCGATCCTGTCGCTTTATGATATAATTAAATATATAATTTAAACTAAAAGAAGAAAAATTAGTTAATTAACATGAATTAATTACAAATATAAATAATTAATACTACTATAATTACTTGTTATTATAAAAAAAATAAAAATGTAAATGCTGTAAGTTATGAGTCTTGCATATAAGTATATCTATAAATATAAATGTTGTAATTGTAGACATTTGCCAGTTAATTGACATCTATTACCAGTTAAATCGGAAAATTATGTAGTTAGTGCGATTTGACCACTTCAAGAGTTGGTGAACTCACACTAAGGTAGGTGCAGTTTTTGATGCTGCAAGAAAAAATGTAAATTTAAATATTGAAGTATATAAATATATTTATCTTTCTTTATTTTTTGATTAAGACTCAGTTAGGTCAGCATACCGCTTGTTAGTATAAATCTTATTTATGGATACCCAGGAATCATCATATGCTTATATTAGCGACAAAAGTATCATTAATCAAATATATCATAACAAAATTTGTTCTACATTTAATAATATAAGATAGTTAAAGATGATTTGTCAAAAATCAAATTTTATTATTGTTGATAATTTATTAATCCCAACTCGCAGTAATATCAGATTATATTATTATGTACGCCACAGGTAGATTTAAAGATCAATTGAACGGGCGAATAGGGACGTAGAAGAAATATTAGATTCATGGATATTTGATAATAAATTGAAAGACTGACCAATGACATTAAAATTTGTGTATTTCCGAAAAATTGGGTCATGAACTTTAGTAAGCTATTGAATGATATAAAGTGTACAGCAAATATAGAATTGGTTTCAGCAATAATATCTTATGATGAATGATTATTATCAATTCATTTGTATTAACATAGTAAAACAATTTGATTTATTTTTATGAAAAATATGAGATTTGTTATAATTTACCAGAAGTCTTAGTAAATTACGTCATTGACCAGTGAAATTATTAAATTTTAATTTAAAATGCTCTTTTTTTTCATTTACTTACATAATTGAATCATTTTGGTAAAATGTTTACCAATGATCATCTTTCACCATAACATACACATATAATATATATACGAGTATATTCTATATATTCGTGTCATTGTTTTACGATTCTAGAATAAATATGATTTAATTGATTGTCAATGGATCATGATGTAATATTATGTAATATAGATATGGTAATGGTTCATTTAACCGTATGTATATATTAAGTCAAATAAATTTGGTATGTATTATAATTTATAAAATACATATTATTATAACTCAAAACTAATAGTCAAATTGTATACCTCTAAACAAATTATTTTGGCCCTTATGTCCACAACTAGTTTCCCTTGTCAATAGACTATTATTGACATTATTGCATTATTATTATTATTATTATTATTATCATTTTTGTATTATTTAACATATTTTATTAATAATTATTATAATTACTATTATTAGTGATTTAACATTTAAACTTGACTTATATATTCTTATTAATATTAATATTTAACTAAATTATGTTTGAAGGATAAAATGAAAAAAAAATTATCTCATTTCTGTCTAGATAAAAATGATTTCATCTTATTAGATAATGATAAGAAATGTAGATCTCTATTATTTTTTCATTATCAATCTAGATAAATTTTGAATTCAAATTTTTTATTTATATCTAGATAAAAAAAATTATCTAAGCACAGCATTGGTTATTCTATAGTCACTATGTAGTATTATAGCTCTACAACTATAGAAAACGATATGAGACTCGCTCATTCCACTAACAACTCTCGAATTTCTTGTATTTTTATAAACAACCCGGGTAAAATTTCCCACATATAAATCATTATTGTTTTTACTCTTATTTTTTTATGTTCTTATGTTCTTACTGTTTAAACTTTAAAAAATCAATGTTTATTGAACACTGCAACTCAAGTAAAGTAAACGTATTCATCACAAAATATTAAATATTCTTACATACATTATTTTGTTACGTAATGATGATGTTAAATATGTTTTTTCAATGTGTTTTCATAGCTCAGTAGTACTGTTAACGTGCCAATGGCTAGTTCTTTGTTGGCGGCCAACGATATGACGTGGACATCGCCAAGACTGCAGTCGCTGTCGGAAAACACTATTTCGGAACTTGGAGAACAAATGGAATCCGGCTGAGTTCATGTAAGGTTTATTGTACTATATAATTTACATTCACTGCTATAGTTTATTTAAAAATATTTTGAAAAAAAATATTTAAAAACACTGATTGATAAAAAATTAGTGTGATTTTTCACATTTTTCCTGCTTAATGGACGGAAGATCATGTCGATAAAACATCGATTTATAATTTTATTTTATTTTTAGCTCTCATAACATTTTACATGATTTTTGGTTTATTGTATTTTTGTCAGTTAAGCGCCAAGGTACTTGTGATATATTTTTTTTGTTATGGTCGGATATATTGACATTGTGATGATGTTTTTAATATATTGCTATAATTGTTTGGTATTTTTTCAGATCACAGACAAACAAAATATTATCACACAGATATTAAAATATATTTTATACAATACACACTCAACATTCGTTAGTCGAGACATCGTGTTATTATTTAATTAGGAATAATTGTGTTGGATAATGTTTTTTTTTTTATAACAATGTTTTTTTTTTTAAGTACGCTTAGAATTCACTTATGAGTATATTTGTAATTGAAACAATCAAATTTGTGAAATAAACGGTTTTTAAATATATTGTTTATAACATACGAGCTCAGATGTGAAATAATTATTATTTGAATTATCATAATGTTGCCATTCAAATTTGATGTCTATAAATTATGTTAGACTAGAGTAAACTTACATAATATTCTATATTACTCGTTTTTTATTAAAAATTGATGACTTAGTGTTCATGTAAAGTTGTGATAAGTCCTGCAGCTGTATGATTTATTTCGGAGAAACTTAGTACATTACTGCAGTACCGTATTAAATAGGTAAAATTTAAATTTTCAGGCGTTAATCCACAAGAAAATTTATTACTTAACATGTATTAAATATTACACATGAAGGGTCAATTAATGGATGACCATCATTATCCCACCAAATCAATAATACGAAGTTATGCATTGTTTACTACTTACATATTTAGGTATCATAAAAAATATTTATGATTTGTAAAAAATTCAAAGATAATACCTACCAACTGGAGCGTATTTAGATTTTTTTTGAGGAGGGGGGCTGGCGAATTTCCTATGAACAAAATTTCACAATTCAACCAATTCCAAACAAAAATTAGAATAATTAATTAATCTATATACATAATTAGAATTTTATGGTATAATCATAACTTTTTTTTTACAAAATTAACGAAATAATATACCTTCATAATAATAGAAAATTAATAGGTACATTACATAACATGAACAATTTGAAATTTATAATTCATGAGATAATGATAATATGAGCTTCTACTATTTATATTTTTTAGGGTAAAACCAGATTTCAAATTTTTTTCTGAAATTTAAACATTATAAAAAAATACATTCAGACAAAATTTATTAAGAAATTAATAAATTATTAAAATACAATATTTGTTTCTTCTGTAGAATTTTATTATTATTATTAGAACAATAAACAAATAATATACATTTTTTTTTTTTTTTTAGTATTTGTAATTTACTTATTACCTAATAATTATAAATGTGTGTTAGGAATATGTATTTTTCAATTAAATTATAGTAGTGGGAAAAATGTTTAAGTAGGAAAGGGGCTTAGATAAAAATTCTAAATATAAGAGTATTATGTTGTTTATTGTATAGGTATTATTTGTGGGAATGTGGGGACGAGCCCCCACAGGTCACTTTGATTTATATATAGATAGCCCCACTAAATCAAAAACTGAAATTGCATCTATGGGTTGGAGTCTTAACCATAATGTGGACTTTCTGACTTTGCCGTCCTGATGATTTACGAAGCTCGGGGCAGAGTAAAATTGTGGGGCCTAAAATATCTAAAATATCACTTTCATCAGTTGTATATATAGATATATAGCTCTCCAAATTTTAAACTTAAACGTGCACAAATAGTCTTAACAAATATAATACTTTGCACAGTTACAGCTACAAAAATATGAATAAGTAAATTAATTAATAACACAACATATCATATAATCAAACTTAGCATAATAAATAAAAATATTGAGAAAATAAGACACTAAATAAAAAATATAGTAATAGGTACAATATAAAATTGTATTGCAAATTAATTTTTCTACTTCTAAAATCTACGAATTGATTAATAATATCATCATAATTTAATTGGTCAGTAATTTCTTTTTCTATAGAAATTATAGCTAAGTTGGTTTATTGTGACAACGTAGTTCGAAAGTTAGTATTTTCATAAATTTTAACTTGGAAAAAATTCGTTCTGCTGAAACAGAAGTTACAAGTATAATTAACAATATTCTTAATACATACTATAGACAATGGTGTATCCAGGCCCGTACTGGCTGCTCTTATGGGGTGGTTACGAAAATATTTAAGGGCGCCTTAATTTTTGTTATTTAATCCTTCAGGTTACCTATAGCCCAATAGATTACAGATTAAAGGATCATAATTTAGGTTTAACGCTTATCTTCACAAAAATATAAACGTTTTTTCAATTACATATAATTGAAGACCATCGGGTTATTATTTGTTAATGAGAAACAATGGATACTTCTCCAAAATCTTATTATAGCGGTAATTTTTATGAGCACATCATGCATCATAATTTTTGTAGGCGCGTCGTGCATCTGCCCGGTTGCCCGGTGGGCCAGTACGGGCCTGGGTGTACCTTTATAATTATTAAACCAATCGACTAATAATCAGACAATTAGACGATGATAATGAGTTTATTTTTACAGTTCTTTTAATTCAAATATTTGAAAAAGTTTAAGATTTATAATATAAGGTATATGAAACAAATTATGGTAAATTTAGTTTTCTATAATTTATACTCAAAAGAATTTTTTGTGACATTTTTTTTGCTGGAATTGGATTGTATTTTAAAACAAAAAAAACTATTTTGACATTTTTTTTTTCAATTTCAGACTTTTTGTGGCACGTGTTAAAATTATTCGATTTGTCTGAAACTTTTTTTGCTTCATTTTTATAAGTAATGGAACTTTTTTAAGGGGGGGGGGGGGGTTATAAAACATTTTTTTTTTCATAATGGAGGACTTCTCTAATAGTCCACAGAAGTTAGGCGCAAAAAGCGACTTTATTCGGAATAAATCAAACAAAAGGTTTTGATTGGTTTTTCGTTACAGTTTAGGGTCCTGATTATTATCCTAAAAGTCCCCGGTGATAACGCATGTGCTAAAATTTTAAGGGTGGTTTTAAGGGGTGAAAATTGCTCAAAAATCAGTTTTTACTAATTCTTCTTAAAATATTAATTGGACAACTAAAATACCTATATACTAAATTAAAGCTGAGTAAATTATCTATAAAAAAGTATCCTAAGTCTTTAAGCCTACACCCAAAAGGTTTAAAAAAAAATGTAAGTAAAAATTAGTATTTATAAGAACTTTTTTTTAGACATAGATATTTATGAAAATCGTCGTTGTACGGTCCAAGCTAACACACTTTAACTTTCATTGATATTTGAAGTACATTATTTTTACTCTATTCCACACCACCTACGGAGGTTGAGTATTAGGCGCGTTTTTTTTACGTGGTATCCCTAGTAGGCCTATTCCACAACTACAAAACTCTATCACGGATAAAAATAAAAATTGCTCCATGACATCTTTGGTGTAAATAGAACTGTTATGGGAATTATCATTCTCCTCGACCGTACTTTCAAGTGGGGGTGAATTGTAGCATGATTGTCCGTGACAGCTAGCAGTCCAATCCTAGTTTTCGACAGCCACATAGTGCTCCACAACCTTTCAAGCACTTGCAGAAAATCATATTAAGTAAGCAATCTGGTACAAGGAGCTGCAACATTCTCCTTGGCGTTAAGACACCTTCCCTTAAAATCCAACCCCAATCTGTGGGATTTAAATCATTACCCAACCATTTCTGAACCTGGTAGTAAACACGTAACAGGTGCATCTCAGCAGTATCAGCAGTCGGTGGAAGTAGATTTAATTTTACTGTCTTATTTTTACTCACAGATTTAATAAAACTCGAGTATCTGTACTCGTTAAGAGAGGTTTCGTTGATGGGTGCTCCATAAATACCAAGCATAAATTTGATACCATTTTCAATCAATTTTTCCCTCAAAACATTTTGTGAATTAAATACCTGAGTTGCAAGTCATAGGTCTTCTCGTTTTGTCATTAGTTTTAAGGCTGATGATTTGCCTTTGTGGGAAAGAGCAGATGTCGTGTCACAGCCCGAGAAAACATGGAGAAATAAAATTTGATCTCGAATAAGATGATGTTGATCGAAGCTTTAAGATGAATATAGTTTCTTTTCAACATTTTTTTTTCCTGGTTTGAGGAACAAAGTTTCTTTTATCGTTAAGGCACGAGCAGTTAATATCATAAGGAAATCCACGTCTTCCCCAACTACAATTGTAATATTATTCACAGCCTCATTTATCGCTGTTTCAATAATTAAAACATTAGCATCATCGGTAGCTTGTTTGACGATAAAATTATTCAATCGAAATTTGGCAGACACCATCGAAATCAGCCTGATTTTATTATTTCTATTAGAAAGCAAGTTCTCTTGGCTTACTGTGCAAATCATCGTGTCTTCGAAATTAATATCAGGAGATGAAGTTTTTGTTGCTCGGCAAGATTGCTCCATTGTTTTTACACTGTTTTTGGGATTACTGTAACCATCAAAAACTGTTATACAGTTCGATCCAAAGTGTTTACTCACATAATTAATATACGCTGTGCAAATAGCTTCAAAAGTTTCATTTTGATGCCACACCACTCGATGTAACAAAAATCCTCCATCAATCACGTATTTGCCATTTTCGAAATGTAAATCTTGCTCTTGTTCAGGCGTGAGTGATTTGAAACTGCCGTACAATGCTAATTTATTTGTTTTCCACATTCCTTTTTCATCAAAGAGCGATACTGGAAACGGAGCCAACTCATAATCTAAATAATTTCGGAGCTCCTCATTTGATCTTTTCATAACACATATTCTTTGAAACAATAATAACGGATCGATCGGCACTGTTTTGTTGTGAACTTTAACATTACTGTTAACGCTTAAAAGTGGAAGTACTCGATCTGCTCGCGAAAATTTAATATCGAAAAATATTTGGCCAATTTTTTTTTTCATAGCAATATTACCAATCCTATTAGCATCGTGACAATTAATTTTCTCATCTCCAGTGACTCCTGATGCAATGGACATTATTTTTTCGATAAAGGCAAAAGGGTAGTGGCAATCTAACCACTGTAAAAGTTTTTGAACATCTTCATTATCTCTTTTAATGCGAGAAACCCTTGCGTCTACGTGTTGTTCTCCAGAATGAAAAGAAATTTGGCAACATTTTTCAAGGGATTCAAAAATGTTACTCGCAGTCAGAAGCCCATAAACCCATTTATTTAACACACTTTCGTTAGTACTTCTTCCATGTGTAAATCCTCCTTTTATTTTTGATGACTTCATCAGAGTCTGCTCAATTATCTGGTCACTCCATGTTCCACAGAAATATTTGTTTGATCGTTTAACTGTGTAAAAACTATTTGTAAACTTCTCAAAAGTTTCACTATCCATTGAATTTCTTAAATTTTCCATATCTGAAATATATAAAGTAGCTGACTT